AACACCAAGCGGCAATTCGAGGTGATTTTTGTCAAGCATAATTTATGCAGTGCCAGTATTCACTAGAGCACCAGTTACTCAATTATTTGAAGAATTTTGGAACCTGGACACGACGTTTGCAAAAAATTATAAACACTCTTGAATGAACTCCTAAAATGTTTTATGAAGAGAGCTTTGAAGCTTTGGTAAAAGCTACCCATTGTGCTTTTTGTCAAATGGTCATATATCTCTTTTCATAAAATTAATCATTCATGTCCCAGGCTGGCGACTTTTCTGTTCTTTGCGACCATGTACATTTGTATGTTTGATGAAAGACCAAAGATTTGTTTGTTCACACAAAACTGACCACTGTTTGTTGTGTTTGCTGGGGAACAATTATAAATGTTTAGGTGTCATGAAAGATTTTTTCATCATGAATAATGTGTATAAAGGGTTTCATTCACTGACTGTCACTTACGTGTTGATTCCGATGTTTCAACTACATACTACAGGTCTTCATCAGGCGATAGTGTCAATTTACTGAGTAGGACTATTTGTACCACCATGTTGTTAGTGATTTGTTGTGCCATGAACCTCGCTTGTGGCTCACTCTAATAATGCCAACAATGCTTTGGATTGAAACCCACCAACCATTAGCGAGGTTTATGATACACCAATCACTATTAACCATTATGGTAAAAAAATTAATAGTCCCAGTTTTATCCTTTCTCCCTTTTCAATCCCCTAGATTTTGTGCCTGCAACACAGGCTACATTTGTCCACCATTCTTCAGCTTGATAAATATGTTTTCTTGCTAGTTTGCTGCTGAGAATAACATACACTTAATGTCAGATCCAGAGGGAAACAGTTAGTTTTGTTTTCCGAGAGTCCTGATGTTGTGTTCCCACCATGCTTTGATCACGTGCTGTAATGTAGCCTGAGCGGGGTACATAGCTTAATGTATCACGACTGGGATACATTTGATTTTAGTCAAGGCCATGTGACCAAGAGTCAACCAATGGCAGTCCATGTTTAGTTGAGTGAAAGTCTAGGAATATAACAGTGAAATTTGTACTACACTGTACAATGTACCAACACAAAGAGAAGGTCGGACATCATCATAATAATAATGATCATTATTATTATTAAGATGGAATTTGATCCGTATAGTGCCCTGATGATAAATCCCGGCAATTGTATTTTGATTGTGGTCCGTTTTTACTGCTGCAGTAAGCTAAATTGTCTATAATATTTATATCTTATGCTGCAAGCCTGGCTCATTTTGTCATGGTATCATTTTGAAAATGGCATACAGTAAAAATTAACTTACATGTGTGGCACAATAAACATGTTCTCCCTACAAAAATTTGTCATATTATACCGCTACCTCCTGAGAACGGCCACCTCTGCACAAGAGCCACTCTCTTCTGTCCCAAAGGTGGCTGTTGTGGAGAGGTTTGATGGTAATAACAATATTAATTTTATTATTAATTAAAATTAACTATATTTATTTCTCATACAAGGGGAGAAGGAAGGGTTTGGATTGTTTTCTTCTCAGAAGTTACATGTACCTGAAAATGTTTGCTGTGTACTGGTATGTTAGGTCTAGGAGACGAAGGAAACCAAGAAACAACCTAGGTTAAATCAAAATTTACCTTGAAATCATCCAGGGTAAAAAATCATCATTTTTCTAAATTTGCAATTTTTATATGATTGAATAGAGCTCATCAAGAGCTTTCTTTCAAAAAAAAAAATTCCAGGGAAAAATGTTTTTTCTGTGCAGACTTGTGGAGAGCAAAAGTTTTTTCTATGCTAATTACTTTAATAATATTGATCGTTGACAAGTCCTGTCATACTTGATACGCGTGCCGCTGTTGAACCAAGCTAATCACGCTTTTGACAGAAATCGTGGTTTACAACTATAGTGCTCACTGTTTTTCCCTGGAGTTTGAAAGTGAATGCCTCCAAAGAAGAAAAAATACCGTAAAATTCCGAAAATAAGCCCCAGGGCTTATATTTTTCAAAGGCCCTTTTTGAGGGGCTTACCTACGGAGGGAAATTTGCGTTTCAAAATCGATTGGGCTAGCCTAGTTGGAAGTGAATTTACCGTTTTTGCTTTGTTTTACTCTTTATTTGAGGGCAATTTTCCAAGTACAAGCCCCCGGGGGGCTTATATTTGGAGGGGCTATTTAACGGAAGGTTTTTTGCGTTACCGGTTTGGGGGGCTTATATTTGGAGGGGCTTGTACATGGAGGGGCTTATTTTCGGAATTTTACGGTAGCTTGTCGGTTTTCGTCCTCGACTCCAAGACGAAAGAAGACAACAATATCGTTTTGCCTCCAAAGAAAGGGCTTTGAAATTAGCAGAGTTGGCTTGGCTCAACTTAGCTTGTCCAGTGCGAAAACTGCCGTTGCAAATAACTAATGATGCTTTCTTGACAACAGAAGGGATCGAACAGAGCAGAGGCTTAAAAATAAATAAATTGAAATAAATTGTTCATCTGTTGTCCGGTTTCGTTTTCAACTTTTTCTGCTTTGTCACTATTGTTGTCCCTTCTCTGGTATGCATCAACATTGACAGCTTTGGTGTTATAATCTGTTTTAATCTTGTCATGGTTAATACACCGCCAAAAAATCTTTTTCCATTGTCTTCTCAAAATGAAAATCGGGGCAAGTTGAGGGTACCTTTTAAACTCCAAGCCAGCAACCCATGAACCAATTTGGCTGAAATTTGGCCAACTTACTGTCAGATAGTTTTTCTATAAAACAGTGTCTGCGAATTTTGATTTCTTTTTTCGTTTTTGAGTTAGAGTATTTTGTTCACAGGTAGTGCTAATGATTTGTTATCCCTAACTTCTCCTGCTTATAACAACAGAACAAACGCACTTGACAAAAATCTGAGACACAGTTTTTTAGTCAAACGTGTTAAGAAGCGAATGCGTTCTTAATTGGCTTCTTCCGTTTATTTTTGGCTGGACTGGACGTTTAAATTTACAGTGACACCCACTTTCACAAAAAGCTTCTCATTTCTAAATCGCGTTAATATTTTGATTTTTTAAAAGAAATAAGCAATAACCTGGAATTATTAAGCTTTCAGAAAATGTACGGTTTATGGGGGTATTTGTTAAAAGCAAAAGCGTTAGCGCCGATCATTGCGAGGAGGGTGCTTGAGGGTGAATGATACCTTAACCTGTAAGATAAACTGTATCTACCACTTCTCTTGTTTCTTAATAGACATTTATCAATAGAATGAATGTCAGGACTGGTTTAAAGGACCTGCTTTCTCAACTGTGTCAACTTTGAGATTTGACATGATTTATTTCATACACATTTCTGTTTGTTTAGGGCTTAATGTACAACTCTGTGTCTGAAGTTTCGCGGCTATCTTGTTAATGGAATGCTAGGTGGAATTCTCTGTACATAACAATGAATAGTACTTATCAGAAAGTGACGCAAGACCCTAATGAAAGGTAGGATATCTTGATACAAAAGAAACGGCAAAAGTTTAGGTAGCATTAAATGTACATGTACTGAAGAGCAAACAGTGAAATCAACCTTTATTGCAAACAGACACAGACCATTGGATACATGTATGTTCTGTTTACAGAAGGTGGTTTGCTGATGTGAGGTTAAGAGGCCAAAATACTAGGAGAAGCCCCTTTCTTACATTATGTAAGAGCTTATTGGTTTTTGCAGATTTTCTTTAGCTGTTATTTACTTTAGAATGTTTTACACTAATTAAGTACAGTGTACATGTATTTCCTATTGTAAACATGGCAGACAAAAAAAGTTACTCATTCATAGCAAAAAATGCTGTGATAAATCTTACATGTAGGATTGTCAAATGTATGTGGATGTTGTTTTTATGCCATACACAAAGCAAGTTAAAAAAATACAACAATGAATACAACAAGTCTAAAAGCACACTGTATTGTATCATATTATCTCTGATGTACTTGTAGGGGTGACGAATGGTCTTTGCGAGCAATCGCGAGCATGCGAGCACTGCGATTTTTTCGCGAGCACGAGCAGAGATAAAAAATTTGCTTTGCGAGCACATGGCAAGCAGTTTAGAGAGTACAACTCGGAAGCAGCGAGCACTTCTTATATAGAAACAAGATCCTCATGTCAGAACAGCCTCTTCTGGAAGAATCCTAAAGCTTCCAAACCGTTTTTATCAAAAAACACGGCCTAATTAAAGCCCAGTGAGTAGAGCGGTAGAGAAACTCATGAGACCTTAAGGTAACAATATCTTCTCTTTGTAACCACATATAGCTAGATTAGCTAATTTATTATTTATCATTGTCATTTATCGCGTGCATTTCCACTGAACTTGATAGCCATATTTATAGGAATTAAGCACCATACAGAATTACATTTACTTTAACCCAAACATGAAGGATTTACAAAATTTCGACCAATACTGACAAGAAAGCGAGCATGCGAGTAACTGCAAAAATTTGGGGAGCACTCGTTTAAATTTTGCGAGCAAATCGAGCAAAGGTAAAATTTTGTGAGCAGTTAAAAATTTTCATGGACCATTCATCACCCCTACTTGTGTGTGTTTGGGTGTGAATTCATCTATTTTGTCTCTATTGCATTACCCCTTTTTTATCTCGGGCAAAAGACCATGTTTCGCATTGAATGGACAAAATAATTTGTCAGGCTGTTTTTGTGAGAGGAAAGAGGATGTTTTGTAGCATAAGGCCTACAGAGCTTGATGTACAACCAACGTTTTGTTGGTTTTCTTCTACATGTACAAATGAACATGAAAACATCATTGATTGATGGGTGTTTGTCTTGTAACCTGCTTCTGCAGTCGTCAGCAGTGTTATTTTGTCAGTTCATGCTTTATTTGTGAACTGATTATGTCATTCTTAAAATAAGGGTTTTTAAGGAATATGTGTACTCTTGTCTGTCCCCTGTGGAATTCCAGATCCAAAACTTCCTCTATTCATGCCTTTGCAATTCCAGTTGTAAGTATCCTCCCATGTCTTGGGATTTCCAATTCAGAGAACCCCCATGGCCCTCGGAATTCCAAAAAGCAATCTGTGGTATGGTATGGATATTCTCTGGAATCACCCATTGTTTTTCATTGCAAATGGTATCCTTTTTGTATTTTGTTTAAAGTTACAATGTATAAGTTATCTTTTGAAACATTATAGTGATGATCATCACAGATCTTTCCAACCTTACCATGATGATGATGATGGTTTTGAAGGCAACTATAGCTACAACTATGGCTACAATCCTTATCGGCCACCTTCAGGAGGAATTAAGGGAAAAGTTGAACAGAAATACTGGCACACAAAGCAAACAATGATTCAAAAGTTGGGAAAGGAGCAGGACTCATTTGTGGTTGCTGGGGACTCTGAAGTGGATGCACGTCTAGAGGTACACCTGTCCACTGTCTGTAAGAAAAATAATAATGGTAACTACAGTAGTACAACTGTAAGGTTACTGAGTGTAGGCAACAGCAACTGAAGGTTAAAAAACTTTTCCTGCAATGTTGTGCTTTGCATAATTTCACATGATATATGGTCAAAACATGCATACAAGTTTTCAATTCCCTTGGAAAATAATTTTTTTGTTTCTTTGCCTGGAGATCATGGGAAACCATCTAAAACATTTTTTTTTTGGTTCCATGAAAATTCATGGGGCCCCCCCTTAAATTTTTTCAATTTTAGGAAATTCATATATTTTTTTTTCTTGGCCCTGGAAGCCATAAACCGGTAATGTTCAATGCACTTTGGAAACGATTCAAGATGGCAAACATTAGAAAGATGATAAGATGCTATATCAACATTCTAGTTTCGTATATAACCTAAGTCATCACCAAGAATTGTTGCTCAACTGGTTAAGAGTCTGAGTGGAAAAATTGTGAATTTCTGTAGATTGATCCTAAGACTGAAAATGTCACTGGGAAACTATTTTCCGGTTCTGTTATTTTAGGAACCACAGTAATGACATGGTACCTGAAACGATCATTACTGTGAAATCCCAGGGCTTAATCAGTGAATGATAGAAGGTTCAAATGTGCATGTGCAGATTGTACAGTCCATTCTATTCATTTTTAGGGGAAGTCCAAACAAAGCTGGGAAAAACTGCGGAGATATTTATGTGTCATAGGGTTTCTGTGTGTTGTCTCCTTGAGCACTTGCCATTGATTACACAAGTTAATTATGTTTCTTTGACAATTTTTGCAGGCCTTCAGGCATATACAGAAGACATGTATAGATATACTAAAGGCAATAGAAGTATATCAAAATAGGATATTTGGTAGGTACACATTGTTCACATGGAACGCTGTTGCGCTATCTTCATGTAACCATTGTGTTCTGACCAGGCATTAGTATATGTATATCAGGCATGTGTATACGACGTATATTTGGTATTGATCCATGTAGAAGTGTACAAAATTATTTAGCAATATATTGTTACAGATAGTTTGTCTGGGATCCCTGTGTTAGAATGCAACAATGGAAACAAATGAAAATGATTTCCCTGTTTTTTCATTTATTTGTTGCCAGTCACGGCTGCTGCCTAAGAAAATGTTTTTGGAGCCCTTCAGGCTACCTAAGTAAAAAGTTGGGAGCCTAAGCCTCATTTCTAGGAGCCCTTGATCGATAAACTTAAAAAACTCAAAATTTATTAGGGCATAAATAGTAGCATATGTAAGGTTCAACTGACATTCAATGGCCAATCTCCTTTTTGCTGTTGGTAAATTTATTTTCCTTAACCTCGCCCATGGTGCCAGAGGTGTTTTTTTTATCCAATTGTATTTCGAGAACAGACCTGGAACCAAGATACCCAACCTAGTTTTAATTAGTTTACCAGAATGACCCTTAATTGGCAGTGTCTACATCTTCTTTGCTGTAAGTAAGTTGACAGTCTCGACCAGATCCTTGAAAGTTGATTCACGCCTCTCGAAACTCGATTCATTCAAGTCTTCAGACGCCTGAGTCTCAAGTTTTGCGTTTCATGTTTCAAGAGACCAGCAGTTTTGAATTTTTACCACTCACAAGGATTTTGAGGAAACTATTATTTTATTTCTAAAGGAAAAATAAACATTACCATTTGCACATTCAGGGGTTCACACCAACTGACAGCGCCTTATACAGGTACAATTTCGGTAAAGTTAAGTTAAAAAAGGACCAATGAAAGGGTTTTTATCTTGCATTTTGGAAAATTGACGCGATGTTTTTGTATGAAGTCTTTCTTTTGATCCACAAAAATTTTTTTTATGGGGCATAACATCTTAAGGTATGTATTTACATGGGTGGCATGCAATGGCATAGATTGAAATAGGATTTGAAATAGCTGCAGTGAATCTTTTTTTCAAAAACTGCAATGTTTTTGCGAGCCTCTCAAAAATTACCTTAAAACAGACAACAAAAAGAAAGAACGGCATAGATAACAATGAATAAATTAATGATGTAAGAAATCTTTGACTGTACCATCTGTATCAAGATAGAAAATGCTAATCTTTGATCGTCGTAGATGCTGGTAAAATTTGCATAATTATGTCAAGTGTAATTTGAAACCTCCTGCTTTTTGCATGCATCGCAACTTTGAAACATACAACAACAACCTAACGGTTCTAGAGGCAAACAAAACACCGGGAAAAGAAGTCATATGATGACTTTGATACCGAAAGTTTTTCTAAGACTATTAAATTCATTTGAGATCATTTTCAGACAAGAAACTTCACCGTACTGCAGTGGAAGCTCTGGGAAGAGAAGTCAGAGAGGCAAATTTTAAGTGTGGTGGACAAAGGACTGACCCCCAGTCCATGGACTACCTGTATGGACTACCCTAAAATAGACTACATCACCAAAGTTTAGTGATTAGGGTAAGGAAACTGAGTGAATCAAGTTTCAGGTCAGTGTTCCAAGTATAATAACCCTAAATGGAACCTGGTTCACTCGGTTTCGTAACCGTAATCACCAAACTACTCTAGGGTAGTCCATGAACTGGGGGTCAGTGTTTTGTCCACTACCAATTTCAAGACAAGTGCTTGTTTGTTTATTTTTTATCAGTGGGACTTTTTTGCCTACAGTCAATTACCACACATTTTGCGTTTCCGTTTCAAAAGCACAGAAGTAGCAGGGAATTTTGTTGTTTGTTCATTGGAAGTTGGCGTGGAAGCTATTGCCATAAGAATCATGAGTTTCATGGGCTCCTTGTTTAAAAGTTTAGTTGCCGGCTGGCAAATTGTAGGCACCTCCGGTGACCTGGCAGCCCTTACCCAGCAGCCTTGCAAATACTCTCTCATTACTCTTGCGCACATGTACAGTACATTAAAAGTCCTTGAATTTTTGGCCTGAACAAGTGTATGAACCCTGTGAGAAGTGGACTTTGCATGTAGGTGGCATACCCCCATAAACCTACGGATGTAAGAAAATCTGGTTATGATGTCAGAGTATGTCCATCTGTCTGTCTGTACAAACTCTGGGAGGTAGGAAAAACTCTAAAGGAGGAGAAAGAAGTCTCAGTCTTAGGGCAAAGCAAACTAGTTTAAAGGCAACCAATGGAATTTAAAAGTGAATTTTTAAGGCTTAGTGACCCTTTTGGTCCAGGACCAATCTAGTCTCAGATTGTTTAAAATCTTGACAGGTGAATTTATGCATAAATACTAATTCAGCAAGTAGAAACAGGGTTAAAAATTGCAACTGACTGGTTGCCAATGCAACTAAAGTTTGGGTGCTGGTGACTACGTTTTAAGACCTGGTCGCCAGTTGGCGAGTCATCTTCTGTTTCAATAAGATAACCCCTTGTCCTGGATCTGTAATCAATATAGTAATAGTAAACTCACTAACGCTCTGCTTCATCCAGCAACTCAAAGGGGAAGCCTCAACAAGGCAAGACTTAACAACGTACACATTTTGCCGTATATCAGTTTGCTCCTTTTACAATGTTAGACTTTAATGTTCTTCTTATATTCTTCTAACAATTCTCCAGAGCTGACTAGTCCCACTGGTAAGATAGTGGTCTCGTCTTCTTACACTGTACTGTGTACCTTCGTTTCTAGATCCAATGGTGTTCCTGTTCCTGTTCACTTTTGTCTTTCACTGCTGCTCATTTTCACCTTGGTGGCCGCGAGCATTTCTCAATTTCTCACCATCGCTACAAAATTTTCATGTTTTTCTTCCAACAAAATTGGTCTCAGTTGTTTTTTTATTTCTCGCTGTAGTTCTTTCTCTGTTATCCACGTTAATGTAGACATGAAAATTTAATTGAAAGAAAGGCTTGGGCTTGTTGTTTTTTTCTCTCTAAAAGTCCGGGTGGCAATGCGATTCACTGCCAAAACGTGCCGGGTGCTTGAAATGCAAAATTTCACCCCAGATTACATGAAGGGGTGGACGTATGTACATATGGACAATTTTGTCAGAACCAAAATTTCTTGGATGCATAGATAACCAGATTTTCTTACCCATGGTGCTTAGCTACATGCGCTTTGTGTGCACGAGAGCTCTGCTATTACTAAATGCGGTGGTATTCTCTATGTTAATAGAGAGGAGAAGTTGTTAGGTTACATTGCCATGGGAGCAAAATTTTTGAATGACAACAAATCAAAAATTCACTTAAAAAGGAAATTTGCACTGTTTCATTTACTTTGTCAAATTTTAGTGAAATTTTCTGGATTTAATCTGAAAGGACCATATCTGAGTTTAGAAAAAGAAAAAGAAACTTTTTGTGTTGTGTTCACCTACTCCATAATGGGGGCACGGGAAATTAGAAAGTTTCATGTCACAGTCGTGCAAAGACGGCCAAGAAGTGTACAAAAAAGCGTGCAAAGTTGTTGTTGCTAATCTAAACCTATCAGGTTTTTTTGCCTTTGTTGTTACTGTTGCCATCGTCGTTGCTTAATCTCAGCCTTATTGTTGTCATCCAGTAATTTGGCTACCATGGTAACTTGATGTCACACTTCTCCTCTCTATTTGAAAATTGTAAAATCGACGCTGTTCAAAAGATTCTTAACTGAAGTTTCAGCAATGCTGCCTTCTTCAGGGTACAAGACTAGGGTATTCTCTATGATTTGATATTTCAATTTTAGCATTGTCTCAAGATGAGAATGAAATGGGACGTTTTCTCCGAGAGCAAGGTTCACAGGATAAATCCAAGGCTGGAAAAATGATGATTGCAGTGGGCAAGGCTCAGAGTTATTCAGCTCAGCAAAGGTACATTAAGCTACACTGGACATGATTTTATTACCTTTGTTATCTTGTACTTGCTGTTATGTAACAGTTTGTTCTCTTTTATTACTTTTTACCTCCATTTTATTACACATGTATTTTCAGTCACTAATAAAGAGAATTGTCTTCAAAAGGAAACAGTGGTGCAAATATCTAAATAAATGCCAAAATAATTTATCATGATTAACAGCAGAACAGTGTAGGTTTTCAAGAAATATTATAATTATACAGTGGAACCTCGATTTAATGAACCTCTATATAACAAAGTCCACAGTATAGTGAACAATCTTCTTCAGCTGGGCTAAATTTACAATAAAATGTATGGAACAAAACCTTGATATAACGAACGTCGATTTAACGAAATCCACTTCATAACGAACACAATTAAAAACACAAACGTAAAATAATGTACCTTGATATAATGAATAAAATTTATTCATTACATCAAGGTATATTTAATAATGTCAACATGGGACAGAAAGATAGCTAAAGATGAATGCAAAACAGACTAACGAGGATAATGTTTAAAGTAGTTTTAAGCAGTTTTGTTTGCCTGTTCTTGTGTTTCTAGTGTTGTAGCTATGTACAGCTCCGAACTGAGACAGTAGTTTCGTATACAAATGTTTATTACAGAAATTGCTCAGATCTGGAAATGCTGGGCATTGGGAATTAATAATTAACTATACCTGGATATCACAAAGATTTTGCTTGTTTTCCCAAAAATTCGCTAAATCAAGGTTTTCTATATAACATACCCTGGATATAACAAACAAAATTAATTTTCCCAGTCCCCTGGCACTTTGTTATATCAAGGTTCCACTGTATCTAGAATGTTTTATAATCAAGTGAAAGGGTGCCACTTGCTATAAGAGTCAAAAGCAAAAATTTGTCTTGCTAGACAAGGTCCATTGGTAAAATGTACATGGCTAATTTTGTAAGTTTCACTAGTGCATGTAAGTAGTTGGTAATTGATTACACAACAGGGACCTTTAGATTGTAAGACAATTAGGACAACCATATGAGAACAAATTGCTCTCAATACTAAGTAGTGTGCACACATGAATCATGATTGATAGTATGGATTTAAGCTTTTTTTAGTTTTAAAATGTTATTGTCTCTGAAACAAGTTATCAAATGTTAGAAGTCTTGTCATTTTTCAATCTACATTGTACTGAGGGCAAGCTTAACTTCCATCAATAAAAGTAACTGTGTTTTCACCTTTCTGTTGAGGGAAATGAAGCTTTCCAGGGTGTCTATATTTTTTTGACAATATGTGAAAAAATGGTGAAGTCAAATCTCATTCTCAGAGTCATACTGGTCCTTGAATCTAACAGTTTCTAATAATGAAAGGAGGACAACAGCCAAAAGAAATCTCTGTTAGCTAAAAAGGTGTATAGTCATCTCTCTCTAAGACAGACACCTTTGGGCCCAGCACTAAGTTTCCATCTTAGAGAGGTGGCCATTACTCAACTAACCCCAATTTTGCTCTCTGAATAGGTTAAGCCTAAGAACCCCGCTAGTGCGACTGTACCAGGAAGTTGAAACATTTCGATTCCGTGCCATCTCAGACACAATTCAAACTGTTACCCGTATGGAGCAAGCAAGAACAGACTACAGAGCAGCGCTCCTATGGATGGCAAACTTATCTAAAGAATTGGATCCAGAAGAGTATAAGAGATTAGATAAATTTAGAGAGGTCGGTTGCTGAAGTCAGCCTTTTCTTTTCATAAACACTGTTGGATACATCTAGTTGATGACATTAATCAATCAGGCTGATTATCTACATGCATACTACACTATCCACTAGCCTGATAACAAGCATTTCCATGCTTGTTCTGTACAAAAATCAAAAGAAAGATGTTCAAAAGTGACAGTCCCTTTATCTTTACCGTTTAGCTTTCTCTCTTATTTTGCTTCTGCGACAAATTTATAATCTTGATGCTGACTCAGGGCTGTCACTAAAATTTTAAGTTGCCGGGTAAATACAAAAAGTAGGCGAGGAATCAAACAGTTACGGGTTTCTTTTGGTTTTATTTTTTTATTACTTTCCTTTGAAAGTAGCCAGGGGCCACGTTGGTAATAGCGTCTCTTTATGATATCTTCTGGCTAAACAGTTGAAATAAAGTTTTTGGTTTCAATGCACCGGTTTGAGATGCAAATTGAACCTTAGAAACCCACACATTTCATTGTAATCTCTCACAGAAGCTAAAAGGAAAAAATGATCTCCTTGTTCAGTTTTCCTATTCAGAGCAAACTTTGTGAGGGCTGACATTTCCAGTTGTGTTTTACTGTCATCAGTTAAACTAATTGGTGGCACCTCATTTTCCAGCCAATTGTATTTCTCTTTGTGTTTGAAAAGGGTAACTGTCTGATAATTCCTAAGTTATCATCGCAAGCTCTGATAACCCTGATGGCCTTGTTGCTTGCCCAGGTTTTCTTTTGCAGATCACTTTGCTCGCTCCTAAAAATGGAATACACGCTTGCAGGGTAACACACAATGCATTTAACAAGGTGTACACAAGTACAAAATTGCATCAATGATGATAATATTGTTACTGTAGGACACTGTTGTAATGCTTTTCTTAATTACCCTATTTCTGGTATTCAGGTTCAGAGTCAAGTCAGAAGGGGTAAAAAGAAATTTGAAAAGCTGAAAATTGATGTCATGCAAAAGATAGATCTTCTGTCAGCAAGTAGATGTAATTTACTTTCAAGCACTCTTGCAGCATATCAGCAGGCCCTGCTCAAGTTTTGGGAAAATACCTCACGGACTATGACCCAAGTTTCTGAACAGTTTAAAGGATTACCAACATACCAGTTTCAGATGTTAAAAAGCCTCAACCCTCTGGCTATTGAAAGTGGGGATAAAGAAAAAGAAGAAGAGGGAAAAGAGGCGAACCCTGGCAAAGAATCAGAGGAAAGCAATGTAGATTCAACAAATGGTGTTACAAAACAAACTGTTAGTGAGGATGATGATGATCAGTTAATATCTTTGGATCACTCACCTTTAGAAGAGAAAAAAATGGAGGCAAGACCTAGTCAGGAAGCTGATACAAATGGTGACAAATCGCTAATAGAGACAGATTTACTTGGAGATGATGAAGCACCAAATGGGAGTGAGGAGTCAAGCACCTGTATTGATTTGCTTGGTGATGATGACTTTCTCTCGCAAAAACAACAGTCAAGTAATGCTGAGTAGTTTCTTGCCAATCTTTTTACATTGTATTATTTTACCATCATCCACTGCTATACACTGCCTTAGAAAATCACTTTAAACAAGTGTTGAATTAACCAAACAATACCAACAGCACTGCAACCATATCTGGAAGCCAGGTGATGGGGGAGTACTTCGCATTTACACAAAATATTTGTGCTCCCTTTATTCAACTACTACCCGTTAAAATATTAACAGAAATATACGTTCTCGTGGTGTAAAGTAACATTGTCAAATTCACATTGTCTTAAAAGGTACAGGTATTCATAGGCAAGAAAGACAGAAGAAGAAGACAGAATAGACAGATTTTGGTTCTATAATGAAGCTAGTTTGCATATACGGTATTTACATGTATGTCCTTAGGTGCAATCGTAGCAACCCTAAGGAATGCAAGCCTTACTTTGAATGAAAAAGTACATTTTCAGGAAGTAGTTTACTCTGTAACTTTCTGCTCTAATTCAACACAATTGCATCAGGTGATATCATTACTTTTAAAAAAATAATGATGAACATACTGTTCATTAAAATTGCATAATGTTAACTTCATAGACTACAGTTTTCTCTACCAAGGAATAGTACCCCGGGTGGTTGTGATATCTTGGTATTAAAATTCCTGTTTATTGTACACAGCCACAAATGATCTACTTTCATCATTTGAGAGTTCCTCAAGAAGCAATGGTCATACTGGAAGTTCACTCATGCCACCCAGCTATGAAGCAGCAACGAAAATCCCTACAGCAGGTATGAGCCAGTAAATTACCCAAGTTTGAGGTCAGATGGCTGGATATTGGCCAAGTTCATTTTGTTTGTGTGTGTACTTTTATGGACTAGTATGAATACGACGTTAAAAAACAAATCAATGGAATGCAGCCGGTATTCTTCCACCTTGGTCAGTAAGGGATTCATCTCATGGCCTTAGAAACAAATGTTTTCTTGTGGGAACAAAGAGGGAAATCCCGAAAGAGCATGGTGGGGCTATTTTGCCTTTTTCGGCAAAATAGGAGCCAAACGTAGCCAAAGTGTCAGAAATGAGGTTATCATTAATTTTTTTTGCCACAGAAAGTTCTTAGAATGGAATGTCCACTACTCACCACTTGTTCAAGTCGTAAGAATCTAAGACTTGAGTGGTACAAGTCCTTAAGTTGTGCGATTGGTTCAAGTAGTGAATGTGATACGTTTAAGTGAAATGAACCGAGGTACATTGGCTGCATCTGATTAGACAAGTGTAGAGAGGGGCTCTTGTCAATTGGTGCGACTCGTACGCGACTTGTGTGAGTCGTAGTGGTGAAATAGCATCTCATTAGAGACACTAGAAATGGAGAGCAGAGTTGTCGAACTATAAGCATCCTACACGACAAACGTTTGATGTATGAAACTGCAAAATGGCTCAAAAATATACTATCACACAAAAAGTCTAGTTAGCAAATGAACAAGAACGTATACACCAGAATATCCCTCGTTCTATAACTAATGAGTACCCCAAACGATAAAATTTCAATGCATAACTCCTACGAGTCGTACCACTAACAGGGCCTATTCACGACAACTTTGCTCACAAATTCTAAGTTTCGCTAATGAGATGCTATTTCACCAGTTTCACGACTCGTACCAGTCGAAACACATGACAGGGTCCCCTCTCAACAACTTTGCTCACAACAGGTTCTATTAAACAGACCCGATTTTATCCTCAATACTTTGTAATTGTAGGCTTCATGTAAGCACCTAGTACATTTCAGACCACAGTTACAGCTGAAGTAGTTTGAAGTTTACATTAATTTTTGTTAAGTGTATACACTTTCCTCGCTTTCTTCAACAGAGATTCGTAATCACTGGTTTTATATTGGATAACACCAATAATTATTATTAGAGCTTTTCATTTACCTTTTGTAGTTTATACAAGGGTTCTCCAATACTCACTACCTGTTCAAGTCATGAAAGTTCGTGTTGTTTCAATTTGTAGCAAGGTTGGTTTTAATCACCTTTTAAGCCATAACCTTTAGTAGCTAACACATAGGCCTTAATGTATATGTACTGAACCTAAAAAATTAACTGAATTGATTGCCTTTTTCCCTCTATCCAGGTGTTGACCATCCTTCGTCGATGACAGCTGATGACTTGTTGTTTGGCTCCCCTACCAGGGAGGATAGGGGAACAGAAGACAAGTCAGACCTGGATATCTTAAACGAGATCCTTGGTGCCACTGGAGCGTCTGGCGGACAGGGCACTGCAGAAAGTGATAACAGCTTTAGTAAAACATGGAAGGACATGTTTGGGGATGAGCCTCTTGAAAGTACACGACAACCACAGGAGCCCAGCCAGTCATGGTCACAAGGAGGGACCAATTTCATGATGCCATCTGATCTTCTTAATAGCATGGCTAAGTTTGATCCATTTAGTCAGTTGCCTGCCTCAACTCAGCCAGGCACTAGTGAAGCGCCACCCACGTTAGGTCTCCTCAAACAGCCTCAGCTCCCCAAGAATCTGTGGCAAGGTAATCAAGTAACTTCAGAGTCAAAGCAGATACCTTCACTGCCAGGGAAGAGTAAGGAGAAGAGCAAAGGGAAAAAGGGCTCAGATATGTCTGCTTGGTTCAGTCTGTTTTCTGATCTTGATCCTTTGGCCAATCCCGATGCCATTGACCAACAGAACAAGAAAAGTGAAGAGGATAGACAATGCTGAATGCGGAATTACTCTTTAAAGAGTTACCAATTGAAAATTGTTAAGAATATCAAATTGTTCCACGAATTCATTGAAAAAGAACAATGTGGTCCACGAGAGGGGTTGAAGCTGAGTTTATGGAAATCTTGTGGCACCTGCTAAGTTCACATATATATATATATATTTTTTTCAAATCTGCTTATCTCATGCATCCTTTAATAACGACAAGTCTACATTAGGCATCATCATGTTATATTGTGGAGCAGGTCTGTCTACTTCTTTATTGTGGGTAGCTTTTTCTCACTATATACATCTTGCCACTTTGGGCATGGTCCCTTTAGCGTGATTCTACCGCTAAGTAACTTTCGCTTTTGTTGCCAGAACGTAAGGGTTTCAAAAACTACATGTACATTTATTATTTGGCTGAATCCTGGAGCGGCTAAGATACGCCTATCTTCTCCACTCGGGACTTTCCGCGTTGGCCCCGCCTGAAAACATTCTCTGTTTAGCCATATAATAAATCCTTTATTGGCCAAGTTTGTTCGGTCAATGTGACTGTATATTGGCCAAGTTTTTTTGGCGTTGTGTCTCGAATACGATCATCGAGATCGTTCAGATCGGTTAACCTCTTTTCACAAATCAGGAATGGAATTCAAGCTTAACTTAATGACATTTCTGTGTTGTAGTCTGTAGAGTGTTGTTTGTCATTGGTCGAATCGACTTTCGTCCGGGCGAAATGCCTTTGGGCGAATCGACCACAAGTCTCGGTTAATGAAAGCATACTTATAAAAAATGGCCAATATACAGCCATCTTGTCCTCTCGCTTGGTCAATAACGCATATATATTTCAAGGTTGCCTTTATGGACTCAAAAGTTGCAACAGAATTGTAGTTTGCATCGTAAAAGTAAATGGTAAAATTATCTTAAAGAACTTCGCCTTTTTGGCGGGGGGTGGGGAGATGGCTTAACGCCTTGCATTGTGTAAGAATTTATCTTACCTTATGATAGGATATTGGGATAAACCTGTCTATAATGTTCAATGGTTTTAAGGCAGCAGCTGAATGTTAGGGCGCTTTCCATTTGTCAAAACCGGCTGGCCAACCGGACCAGTTATTTTGACAATGAAATCGGCTTTTTCCAAGGGTTTTTGTTGAACAACCATCTCCTTCATACACACTATTTAAGATTTGACTGATTTAGCTGGATAGTTTTGATTAATAGTGAAATTCTCATTACGAAAGGGAAGGGTCTGGCCGGTCAGTTCTGACAAATGGAAAGCGCCCCCTTAGATTCACTTATGGTAAGCCGTAGGTGTAGTTACGTTCAGTGTATATCAACAGGGTGTAAATTGCTATGGCCGTTATTTTAAGTTATTTAGGAATAAATTATTGCAGAGTTGTTTATAAATTCTGTTTCAGAAACACAGCATGTTGAAAAAATTTGAAAGCAGTTGAATGTTCTGGTTTTAGAACACCACGCTTCCTTTACACACACACGAGAACGTCGATGTAACAAACCTCTATATAACCATAGTTATTAAAGGAGACGAATCGACTATGACATAACGAACGACATTCTTCGCCCCCTGTTTCAGTAATATAAATTATATGGGAACGACCCTCAATATAACGCAACCTAGAGGATATATTTGGCAGTTCCTTGTCGTAAGATGGTTCGTTTGTTCCCAGGCGTCATAAATTACACTTTCTTTGAAAATGCGATAAAATTGACTTTAAACCGGAATGTTACCCTGTCTAGAATTTTTTTGTGTGCTACGCGCATTTAAATGGGGAGCCACCTACGTAGCCGTTCTTTGTGTCGTTGCGCAACCCTGTTCTCTACGGAGCGTGACGTCGCCCATTATTATATCTTACCTGATGAAATAAGATTATACCTGAACTAAGGTTTATGCGTTAAACATGAGAATGCTGCTATAAGAGGGGACAGACGGCAAATTATACACACTGTTAATCATCACAAATGGTTTTGGCTCCATAAAATCGTACACCAATTGCGGAACGTTTTTAGAGGAGCCACCCACAATGTGAGCACAGTTACTGACAGGGTATTTGAGGCCAAGGCCAAACATCGAACTTTCCATGAGACGAGCTAAACTGGGCAGATTAAGTTCATGAAAAATTCGACGTCTGTCTCCGTTGATTTCGTCTGAATCAGAGTTTGCTTCTACATATGCGTTGTATCCGTCTGCTCAGATTCTGATTGGTTCGACGCTGCATTAGTTCGACGTCTGACCCAACAGACGAACTTTAAAATTAAGGTCTACCCAAATTACAATTTGGTTCCTCCCATGAAAAGTTCGACTTTTAGCGTTGGCCTGAGTTAGAAAAACAAAGCAGAGTAAGTCAAAATAAGATCCATTCAATATGGAACGAAACGAACCGCTAATGATTTAAGCACGCGCCCATAACGTTGATGAAAGTGCAGTTAGTGCGTTCAGTTTCATCCATTATTTAAGTTACAAACTATTGTAGGACTCCAAAAGGACTTGTTAATGAGGACACTTGTAAATGTTTCAGTACTTGATGACCTTTATTATTTTGTTTAACTTATGTTTCTTATGGAAGAATTAAGGGTCATTGTTATCAGTTTAATTTAAATAAACAAATGCAAAGTATTGATTGCTTCTGTCTTAACATACGTATCCCGGAAGTTCCTTATTACCCCTAAAAAAGCCTGATAATTGATAGGCCACTGTTACCGTCAAACTCAGAAAACTGTGAACACCTGCAAAAATTCAGGAATATTGATTTACGTACTAGCCAATCACAATAAAGTTCAGGATGCGCATGCAAACCTCAAAACCACAAACTAATCAGTTGCCGTTGCTGTTTGCGGTTTAAGGGGTGTTTACATGACAACGGGGCGACTTTCGCGCCGGAGCGAGTTCACTCCGGTTCCCTCTCATGGATCTACATTTGTTTACATGATATCATCACAAAATGTCATGCCAGGACGAGTCACCCTGGCTTGGGTTCACCCCGGTTCTTGTACCGGGGCAAGAATTTCACTCCGGTACGAAATCTCGCAACGGTATCAAGTTAACGCGCAACGACCACACGTTTTGCGCGGTTAATCGGTGTGCGCGGTTTAAAATGTGCCGGTAGACTGGCATAGGCGTACGGGCCGGGGGGGCGAGGGGGGCTGCAGCCCCCCCAAATTTTGGGCAACTCAGATTTTTTGGGCAGCGAGAGAAAATTTGGGCAAAGCCAGTTCTTATAGACGTCTCCATGTTTATTTAATTACATCTTTTGCTGTTCATTACGAGAAAATACGCATTGATTTGTGTGAAACAGCGACCAACAGCGCGAAGATACATTCATTAGCGCAAAAAAGCGAACATTTGCGCCTAAATCAGATTCAATAACGATTTTTGCATTTTAATCAACATTCAATAACATTTTTGGGCATTCATTTGCGTCATTCGACGTACAAAAGAGAAAAATATACTTTCATTAACGCCAACATCCAAGTCATTAACACCATCTTGAAAGTCAGTAGGGACAATAGACAAACATTAAAGTGCAAACACTATTCATTAACATTTTTATGACACTATTTGCAATTCAATAGCATTCCTGGACAACCTTAGGATGGATATGACAAACATTAATGCGCATGTACAATCAATTGAGTGTTCTTTACATTTAATATACAAAAATCGATTTTCAATTAAACAATAGAAATTCAAACAAATCTGGCCTGAATTTCAGTCCGTTAAATGAATATCCTTCAAAAACCTCGCTATTTAAACATTTTGGGAGGTAGGTTTGCATGAAATAGTACCCTTTAGCGCATTTAGCTGCGTCACAATGTCATCCTCTGGGCAGAGCTTCAAGCACTGCAGTTATTGTTTCCGAACTCCGCTAGTGAGATTGCTAGGGCTTTGCCCCCATTCCTGTTATACATCTTTTAATTTCCGGACTCGAGATGTCGGCCTTTGGTGTCGCTTTCAGACAACTTAAATCCTTTTCAACGATGTCGAAGGGGGAAGCATAAGCTGTGTTCGTATTGGGCAGGAATGGCCAAATCTAGGTGGGCTGGCACCCCGTCATAACCAAAGACCACCGACTTATGGGGATCCATTTTTTCCTCGCCCGTGCCAGAAAAAAAAAACCGACACAGAATTCATTACTCCAGCAGCTGTCGAGGAAAACATCTGATAGGTGGTATTGCCATGGTCATAGTCAAGTTTCGTCCTCGTTGGCCGCACACTTAACGTTACGCCCTCCACTCCCTGTCGCACTCCACCATGACTTCTGGCCGTCTAGGGTAAATGTATGGCCGCAGCCGTCGACGAACACTCAGTGGCGAAGTACGGCGTGATTCTTTAAATAAATTCAGGCCAATTTTTTTTTGGAGGGGGAGGGGGATTGGTATTGTTTAATTGAAAATAGATTTTTGTGTATTAAATGTAAAGAACGCTCAATTGATTGTACATGCGCATTAATGTTTGTCTTATCCATTCCAAAGCTGTCAAGAAATGCTGTTGAATTGCAAACAGTGTCATAAAAATGTTAATGAATAACGTTTGCACTTAAATGTTTGTCTATTCTCCGCAATGATTTTTAAGATAATGTTAATGACTCGAATGTTGGCGTTAATGAAAGAATATTTTTCCCTTTTGTATGTCGAATGACGCAAATGAATGCCCAAAAATGTTATTGAATGCTGATTAAAATGCAAAAATCGTTATTGAATCTAATTTAGGCGCAAATGTTCGCTTTTTCGCGCTAATGAATGTATCTCCGTGCTGTTGGTCGCCGTTTCACACAAATCAATGCGTATTTTCTCGTAATGAACAGCAAAAGGTGTATTTTAAAGACCTGAATATTAACCTGAAGTCGGCGTAATAATCCAGTTACATTACAGTGGTTGCCAAGCATGTGATGAGTAATTTACAAAAGCGCTTCGTTTTCTACAGATAACGGCCAAAAATCAAGATTTTCCTTTTCTTACCGTATTTCTAATAATAAAAACTTCATTCCAAAATATCTCGATAACGCTCTTAAGGTTTTGCTCAAACTTCACGAACATCGAGGTGACCGTATTGGAGAAAAAAGCTCCTGTGAACGATTTTGTAAGGTTCCCGTGCCGAGAATCATAGGTAATGGAGTTATTTCGTTGCTATGACAACTCCGATGTCATTGCAACCCTGATGATGACAAATTTTCATCTTAATACAACCGTGGTCGCAATTGTTCCAAATGTTTGTTTATGGCGACGTAGTTTATGCTCAGACTTGGTATTGCCCCTGGAAAACTGTATCGAGCCACCTTCATATGCCAGGACGGCCTATGTTGTTTCAATATGGCCCTCATTTCTTTTCGACTCTTTCGTAAAAATTTGGGCAACTTGCGAGATTTTTTTGGGCAAATGGTTTACCGCCCCCCCCTGGCAAAAAATTTCCCGTACGCCTATGTAGACTGGAATGGGTAGTGCATGCGTAATGTTTGCGATTTAGAATCTTGGGTGTATTTTATCAACATGAAGTGCACCTCTAAGTAACTAGTTTGCGTAGCTGGCGGTACTATGTAGTAGTCGAGTGAGATTTGGCGGCGGAGCCGTTGTAATGTAGTCGACCGCCTCGTCCCTACTCCCTTTTTTTGGAACACGGCTCCGCCGCCAAAACTTTAATCTCGCACCCACACAATACCGCCAAGTTACGCAGGCTACTAAGTAACGAGATATGAAATGACCCAGTCATCATGTAAACGCGATACGAAATAAAAAAATAATAATCCCGGTATGAAACTCGCGCCGGTGCGAGTTTTCTCATGTTAACACCCCCTTAGTTATCTCGCACCTTGTTGGCTCATTTCTCCCAACACAATAACATTCCATAAAGATTTCTGGTGTTCACGGTTTTTTGAGTTTCACGGTAAGGGGTGTTACCCGCAATGGGATTTACATGTCACGACACTCCATAGCCCCTGAGCATTGCCGCGGTCAATCGACGAGTGGGAGAGGGGGACTGGGGAAGAAATTTGAATTCGCTTTCATCGCACTGAAAGACGCGTAAATCTGGAGACATTTCGTGGTAGCCTGTACATGATGCCATATCGTCGTTCGTAGACTGTGAGCTATTATTATTATTAGTAGTAGTAGTAGTAGTAGTAGTAGTGTTGTTAATATTATTGTTATAAATATAGATTTATTCCTTGTCAGGCGAAAGTGGACAAGGAACATGTGATGCATATTTTACCTTTTTTCTATAAAGGAGGCCTACCTTTGATGTATTCTGTTCGTGTGAATTCACACCAAAAAACACAGGAATACATCAAAGGTAAGTCTCCTTTTTTATGATATAGAAAAAATGTTATGATATAATAATATCTAGCGTACACAGACCTCAGTATTTTATTTCTGGGGATCATTTCTCATACAAAGTTTCAACGGTCGCCTGTAACGCGGGACCGACTCTATTGTAAGAAAGTAAAAGCAAATTTACATTCCCCACTCGTGACGTGGGCTTGGGACGCACGTGATGATCACTCATCAGTGCAATAAAATCAACTGTTTTAAGTGATCCAATATATTTGCTTAAATAAATAACGCGTAGAAACCAGAGAAACGCGGACTACCTGTTAAGGGCGGAAGTAAGGCATCATTCCGCTTCTCGAAAATGAAATCCTTTTGTCTTACATAATGCCCTTGTACCGAACCGGATATTGATTAAATTGTTAAGTTTTTTCGTCTGCAATGATAATAACTATGAATCACCAGCAGCTGAACTAGGAAGCAGACAAACTTAGAACTAACTCAGCGACCAACATTGAATATTGTGCTAGACATAAGAGAGAATTAAGCCCGTACCAAACAATGATTTTTTTGTCTCCTAATTGTAACCAGCCAAGGGTATACAAAACTTCTCGCTTATATCGCCTGTTTTTGCACGCTTTAAAATTTCTGTTTTGAAACCTCTTGCACAATCCGACAAAATTAAAGTGCATGTGGGTGGAAAATTGAAGCCTGATCTCACAGCTATGTCAAGCATGTTGTAGGAGGCAAACAAGCGCGTCACTGGCACTGCGGAAAACACACGCACACAATGTGAAGGTGAAGGCCCATCTTAGTTTAATAAGCGATGATCACATTCATCACACGCATTTCTAAATTAGATGCGCAAATGATTCAGGGAATGTTGCCATTTTACTTTCATGAACTTCCCACGCTTTTCCAAGAAAGAAAGGACGACTAAATCAAGGAAATATAAGAAAGAGCATAAGTTTATAAAGCGTAATTTTAGCAAGGTTTAACCAATAGTTTACTCTAGGTTGACTGATGCACGTGGAGTTCTGAACAAGATGGAGAGAAATGTATTAATTTGCAAAGCCCTACTTCTGATTTTCCTCACCAGTGTGGCGGCTGCTATGGTGATCAATCCAAAAGGTAAGTAACAGACATCTTTTGCAAAAACTTGCTCCTTACTGGTCCTTCCATATGTCCGGATGCTTGAACAAAATTGCAGTATTCAATTTATAATGAGAAAATATAATGAGAAAGAGGAAAAAAGAAAGATATATAATGTACGCAATTAAGAAGGCAATTTATTGTATTGGTTTAAAAAGTAAGAATTTTTTTTCCAAAAAGACCGAAGAGACGAAGCTGAAGTACTCTTAACATCAGCGGGCAAAGAGTTCCAGATTTAAGGACCGTTCTCTCGTTGTACTCATGTGAATCACTACTTTGAGGGTGCCAATGGGTCTACTTCACGGAACGTTGGGTGGAAAGACGAAGGAACGGAGAGGAAAGAAGTCTGTGAGAACAAGAAAACAGATTTGGCAATATGAAAAGTATTAATTTTGTTGATAGTGAGTAAGTTAAGGTGAGCGAAGAGGGAGACAGAGTGAGCTCGGAAGGGAGCTTTACTGATTGCACGTACCACGCTTTTTTGGATAAAACATGAAGTTGAAGACTAGGTAATGAGAGATCAAGGAACAATAAAGTTCTGGCTGAAAGGTAGAAGCGATAACGAAAAATCAATATTCCATCAGACTTTCAAAAATCTTTATTGCAAATATGGCTGATATGAGGTTTCCAAGAAAGATTTCCATCACTAAAAATGCCCAAGAATTTTACGGCGCGTGCTTGACACTGGCAGCTGCCATCAAAAGGTATTGATCTATCTGTCAGATTTATTCTCTTATTTGCTTAGATCTAAAACTGATAAAATTAGATTTATTTGGATTAACAGACAATTTGTTAGATTCCATTCACTGACCAAGTTTAACTTATTTAAGATTCATACAGTGGAACCCCGATATAACGAGCCTCGGTATAACGATGTTCCCGGTATAACGATGAATAATGTCCCAGCAAACGTTACAGTAAAATGTATGTGAGAGAACCCCGATGTAACGATCTTCGATATAACGATGAGAATTTAGCGGACCGAACGTAAAATAGGTGCCTCTATAACGATATTTTCAGTACACAGTCACAATTTAAACAAAACATTGAATTCAACACCATAACATTACAGTGATCGAATGATCTCTAAGGTTTCTGTCAACAGCTTTGTACGATGATACAGGAAAATGATACGTACTGATGATGATATATTAGAGACTGAACCTACGCCTCTGACTCCTATGCAAGCTACCGAAGCTGTAAAGGCAATAAGAGATTTTGTAATTACGCTGGAAGATTCAGGCGAACCAGAGAGATAATTTCTTTCCTATCTTTTGGCCATGGAAGACGCGTGTAAGCCTTGAAAACTTCCAGAGCTGTGCCAACTGTTCAAGGACATTGCTGCATGATTGAAATGCTACATTTGTGAATCATTTGATTAACCCCGATATAACGATATTTTCGGTTTTTTTTTCGGCCATATCGTTATCATCGGGAGTTTCGATATGATGATTCCGCGATTAGGCCCGATTACGAGCCGCTGTTCGGGAAAATGAGCCCGAAATCGAGTCTATTCCTCGATATAGCGATATAATTTTATTGTTCCTCAGCATACCGTTATATCGGAGTTCCACTGTAGTTGAATTAAACGATAAACATCAGGATACGAGCAAAATATGAGGGTGTCGTGCTCAAATAATAACGTTTCAGCTGAGGGGAAAAATTTATAACATATTTTTATATAAAACAAGAAAAAAAGCTTTCTCTAGATCGATCCTTGTGGCACGCCAGACTTGACGGTTTGGTAAGAACAAAGTTTAGTTTCAAAAGGTTGAGTTAGATCGTCCGGGTGAACGTAGTCCTGAATAGGACTGTTGTTCTTGACAGTGACTGACGTTTCGACAACCTGTGCGGTAGTCATCTTCAGAGTCAAAGTGAGTTGTATCACGTCAGTTGATGGTATTATTATACTCTGGTTATTGATCTGATTGGTCAATTATGTCGCGATGTTATTGGTCGTCTGTCAGTTAAGCCGTGATGTTATTGGCTATGAAGACTCGTAATCAGTGATTGGTGCGTTTCGATCCGTCTATTGTCACAGTTAAACAGTCGTCTATTGTTAGTCAAATTGTTAGTTCTCCAGTTGTTCTCTCGTAGTTAGTTTTGCTTGATCTCGTCAATAAGTCGTTTGTACGGCGCTGGTAACTGTTGACTACGATTCAGTGGCGTTTGTTCTAAGTTAGTAAACCAGCTTTCTAAAGTAAGACGTTGATAGTAGTCTGTAGAATACGTTATACATGTCGCAGAGTCCCAAAATGAAAATGCAAAACATCGAGGAACAAGCCCTAGCTACCTACACGCGAACTGTACTTCTTTGGTTACGTTACGTTGACGACACATTCACCGCCGTACACAAAGACGGAATCGACGATTTTCACGAACACCTTAACAGACAGAACGCGGACATACAGTTCACCAAGGAGATCGAAGAAAAGGTTAAGATACCTTTCCTAGACTGCTTGGTCACTCGCGACAACAACAAACTAAAAACGACTATTTACAGAAAACCGACACATACCGACCGATTACTAGACCAGTCTTCGTACAACCCGACCTCTCACAAGGCTACTACTATCCGGACTCTGACGAGACGAGCGCAACTAGTTTGCGACTCACCTGACAGCCTACAAGACGAGACTGATTATCTTAACAACGTTTTTAGTAAGAACAATTACAACACGGACTTTGTTAGACGGAACACTCACAGTAACACTGACTCTCAGACCAACTCTGGCCCTGTTACGACAGCGACTATACCGTACATCAGAGGCGCCTCTGAAACTATTGCACGTATATTACAACCTTACAATATACGTGTTGCGCACAAACCGATAACCACTTTACGGCGACCGCTTACTAATGTCAAGGACAAAGACAAACCGGAGGACAGACAAGGAGCAGTATACAAGATCAAATGCTGCGACTGCCAGGCTTCTTACATTGGTGAAACCGGCAGAAACCTAAGCACGCGACTGACCGAACACAAACGCGCGACGAGGAATGGTGACGTCAACAATCACATTGCTGAGCACCATTTAAAGTCGAAACATCAAATTGTCTGGGACTCTGCGACATGTATAACGTATTCTACAGACTACTATCAACGTCTTACTTTAGAAAGCTGGTTTACTAACTTAGAACAAACGCCACTGAATCGTAGTCAACAGTTACCAGCGCCGTACAAACGACTTATTGACGAGATCAAGCAAAACTAACTACGAGAGAACAACTGGAGAACTAACAATTTGACTAACAATAGACGACTGTTTAACTGCTACAATAGACGGATCGAAACGCACCAATCACTGATTACGAGTCTTCATAGCCAATAACATCACGGCTTAACTGACAGACGACCAATAACATCGCGACATAATTGACCAATCAGATCAATAACCAGAGTATAATACCATCAACTGACGTGACACAACTCACTTTGACTCTGAAGATGACTACCGCACAGGTTGTCGAAACGTCAGTCACTGTCAACAACAACAGTCCTATTCAGGACTACGTTCACCCGGACGATCTAACTCAACCTTTTGAAATGACTCCTGGGTTCAAACCTTTCAAAGTTTAGTTTGATCCTTAAAATCCATTTGAGGGAAGTTCCTTCCATCCCGCGAAAGCTGATGAAATTGCGTATCTAAAAAACACAGTTTGTGATCTCGCTACCATCAATGGAACATGCTTTTCGTTAATTAGGTGGATAAGTCTCTGGCTAGCCTGCGGAGCTGCAAGCGCGAAACCAACGGAAAGGATCGCTGCCTAGTGCACGGTTGGTGGAATGATTTTTGCGAAAGCCGAACCGTGAAGACAATAAAAGGTTTTCAAAGGTGTCTATGCCCTGATATCCCCTTCGTGATGCCACTTGTGTAGGATTTTATGTTCTTTCCTTGTCCGTTTCAGAAAAAATTTCAAATCTGCCCTTCATCGAAAGCTTTGGTCTTCAAGGAAAAATCATACCCTACATTGGAAGTAAAGTTAATTTGACTTGCAAAATGAAACATGCGGAGGCGGGTATTTTCCTCAAGGCAGGACTCGCTATAAGGGAGGGAGGACGATTCAGGTACATATTTGAAGACAGTGGGCATGATGGGCTTGTAGCTCATCTTGAAATTACAGATGTCTCCAAGGAAGATGAAGGTGTTTTTACTTGCTGTGCTTTTAGGGCTGGAATTATAACTACGAAAACGCTTACATTTAAAACAGGTTTGTACGTCCGCTGCCTAAGTCGACAAGAGTACTTTTTTAAATATGTATTCAGTAATACTTTTGCAGTAGCCCACATTCGATATACCGTTAAGTTCCCAAAGTAGCGAACCTCTGAAAGTAGAGATAAAATGTCACAGGTGCTAGCAAGTCTCGAAATTAGCGATCCCCCCGAAAACAACGACCCTCCGAAAAAAGAGGCCCTAAAACTTATTTCCCTTTTAAAATATAATGGATAGGATAGATATCCTGAACAAACGCTACACTGATCCGAAAGAGACGACCCCCTGAAAGTAGCGAAAGAAGAGGGGTGCTAAATCCAAAAGTAACGATGGTCGTTACTTTCAGGACTTAACGGTATTAGAATTTTAATTTGACTTCGAGGCTTTAGTGAACGAAAATTGCAAATTTTCACGACTCCATTGTCTCGCAATCCCCAGAAGAGACATGAGCACAAAGAAAACCAAACAAAATACAGAAATGACCAGAAAGCCTCGGAGTAAATTACCGTGAAATGATAAATTACCTTATTCAAGTAAAAGTGAATTAATGATTCCTATTCTAGTTTAGAGGGTATGCTCTAAAATCAGCCACGAAGAAGACAAAAGCACATAAAAGCTAACTTAAATGTGCATGTTCTTTTGCATCTCCTTCAGTGGTCGCGAGATCAATTATTTTTTTACCTTTTAGAGTCTGTGAAAAGTCATATTGCTCACTATAAATATAGTCATTTTCCTTTCCTTTACAAAGTCACTAATGCAGCGGCACCCCATACAAAAAATAGAATAAAATAAACCAGCCATGGGATACGACCCAATCCTGACTACCTCCATGTTTTTATGGCTTACTTGCTTACACGCTATGATTCAATTTGTCTTTTGCCAGGGCAATAAAACAGTTGTCGAGAACTTGTCTTTGCTCCAAAACTTTCGCTTGAAAACTGATACCCCTCTCATCACTTCGTTTCGATATTGGATTTTGTGTGCGAGGCATGTTCGTAGACCTGTAGTCCCGGGCCTACAAATGTTTGGTTTGATCACTCTACCGCTTGCAATAATTTATGCGTTGTTGGGGTGAGCTAAGAAGCTTAAGAGGTCAAAGTGTTGGTGAGGTCAGAATAGTCATGCGTGCAGTTTTCAGGATATGTGGTAATGAAATTTAGCCAGGCCCACAAACAGTCGAAAAGCTGGCTACGTCCCTGCGAGGTATTCCCTTGTCAAATAATGAATTTTCCTCAAGCTGCGCGTCTGACTCCCACATCCTCACATATTTGACTCTTTTTATCTTTTATAGCTCCTTATCCTCCACCCTCGATCCCAAGCCTTGTCGTGGACAGCAAAGGACTGTTGCAATTTCCATGAGTAAGTCTAAGATGCTAGCAAAGAGAAAAACTTAGGGTATCACATGACTGAAGATTAGAGCGAATCGAATTTTTCTTTCCAGTTTTGGTTTCCGCTGTGAGGTGAGGGATAGTGAGAAGGAAGAAACGTTTTATTCTTTTTAGCTTCTATAATTCTCGCCTTGTTGCTGTAAATTATTGGAGGCTTTTTCACGTTCCCTAATTAACTTTGTGCATGTGGTGAACTGACAGGCAGGATAAGGCCTTCACAGTCCTCACAGAGCGTTCCGATTTGTTTCGGCGTGAGTGGTCCTTCTAGAAGCAGGAGTAAAAGACCTCAGCCGACATTGCTGTAGGGGTCAAGGAGACGCACAAACCACCCCCACCACGAAAATGTGGTGATCCCATCAAAGCCGGACGTGTTTAAACTTTAAGCTTTTTTATATTTCTGCTGTTACTTATTTTAATTTCATAATTTGTTTTGTACGTTGTTACCAAATTATTTTATTGGTCCTAGTTGTTTAAATTGTATTATTATTACTACTATTATTATTATTCTTGTTGTTGATGATGTTGTTGTTTTTGTTGTTATTATTAAGGGGTTGCGATTGGGAGCTAGAAAATTTTCTTAATAGGCCAAAGGTTTCTTAATAGGCTGGAGTGGCCTACAAAAATAAGGCATTTGAAAGAAGAACCCATAATCACTCTCTCCCGACCTGAAATGATGTTTACAATAAGGAAAGCATGGTACAATTATAGACAGTTTGTTGAACAGAGTTTGGGCTTTGCTATGCGCATATCTTCCCGTGACAGAACCCTATAACATGGCCCCTTCTTCGATTCGCTTTCTTTGATTTTCACCAAAAGTAGCCGGGCTATAGTCATCTAAACATTAAGCTTTTTCTTTAAGTCTCCTTAAGTGGCAAGAAAACGAGAAAGTGAGGAAAAGGGGATGCTTAATAAAGGAGGAAAAAACCGTCCACCCTTTTTGCCAGATTAGGGGAGGGTAAAGTTCACGCCCTCATCTCGCATCAAGGGAGAATTAACTACTTTTTCTCTTTCATCTTTAGGAAGCACTTTCATTATGAATAGAAACAGCATAAAGAGGATTACTATAAAGCAATTTATGTATTATGCCGACATTCTTGTCTTCGTTTTTCTTTTTTCTGTTTAACTTTATAAAATTAAAAGGTGAATTAGGAAGATTTATTACATTTCAAACTAAGTCTTGAAAGTTGTGTGTAACAATAATACGCTTCAACGCAATCAAATTATTTGTCGAATTAGTTTTGGGGTTTAAAAGTGACGTAGTAGTCTCGACGTTTGCCTTTCGCTTTGTCTCTTACTCTCTTCCTCTCTGTTTTTTATTTTGCTGGCAATTTACTGTGCTTTTTTAAAGGCAGAACTCGAGCCAGGAGGTCGAGCCACAACTTTAGTCATAAATTTCTGTAAGCAAAAAATAAATGAATAAAAATAAAAATGATGGTTAAAAAAAGGACTCGTCGTGTGACTGAAACATTTCCACTGAGTTTCTACCTTTTTGAATATGGAGTACTCTCTAAAAATGGAGTTTGCATCTGAAAATAGTCTTGAGTGACTGGATACTTTTAGTTGATTAAATGAGCCAGTTCAATGAGTTTTCCTGAATCCATGATATGGAGACTAATTTTGTGTTAAGTGTCAAGTTTTCAGTTACGCCACGAGTCCTTTTATGACCGTAATTTACATTGTTATATTTATCATGTTTATTTACTTCCTTTTTGCTTATAGAAAAATCATCGAAGTCCTGACATATAAGAGTCGACACCCTCAGGGTATTAAGTGGGATCATGTGAAGTGCGGGCGCAAGTCTATGATACATGATAATGGTGGTTTAATTTGTCTAATTGTGCCCAGGGATCCCGATCACTTTGTATGAATCTCCACTCGACCAAGAGATTTGATTGTGGGTTTATTATCTCGGACCTTTTATCTGGCGTTTTCAAAAGAGGGTTTAAAGTAAAAAGGACAATGACCAATTCGGCTTGCCGCTGCGACGTTTCTCCGCGACATGTTGCTGCAAGTTGTCGCCTAGTGTGTACCAACCGCGGCCTGTTACGAACCTCCGATCAGGCGATCGTTGGGTACCCCTGACCATACCGGTGTTTTTCAATCACCTTAAGAGTGATTTTATTTTTGTCTGATCATTACAAACTATTGAACAGGGTTTGACTATGAATTGAAGTTTGTCAAAATGCAGTGTTTAGTAAAATCGATATCACTATGACAACAATTATAAACAAAAAACTTTGAAATCGATAAAATCCGAATTTTGCGCGATCTATAGCTAGACCTGCTACTGAACGTCCGTCACCAGGAACTTAAAGTGTAGTGTTTAGCAAATAATCTCTGTGAGAAGTAAAGAATTCTGCATGTTTGAATTCAAATAAAACACAAATATATTTCAAACCTTACATTTTCAATAGCCGTGATAAAATGTTTAATAAAAAAGTTCTGAATAGCTCACATTAATCAGAAGGCTGATTAATATCATATTTCAAAGTTAGGAAATTTTGGTGTATTTTCTTTCTTGCGATTCTGACCGGTTTTCTCACCACTTGTCTAAGTGTAACTTTATCCTAAATTTTGACTTTTAGCGCTTTTCTGTATTATCTCTAAAAAGGCTCGAGAGAATTTTTTTTAAAACCTCATCACATAATCTTCATGACGTTTACAACAATATCTGAAACTTTCATTAAGATTGATTCACTGCAACACCTTGAAATTTCAAGAGAAACCTAGCCAAAACCTTATAAATAGAGAGAAAGCCGTTTTGTAACCGCGTGGGACGTGTTTCTTTTTAAGACGGTAGGTTGCGTGATTGATCCATGACATTCAGAGATCCAACGTTTCTTGTGTTTTGTTTGCTTGGCTGAAACTAACAGTTGGTGGAGAAGCGCGAGCTCGAATCCTGGCAGTCGAGTTTGTGTGCTTTTTCTCTTTCTTTCTTTTATTTTTCTTTCCTTTCAACTTTTTAGCATTTTTTCTCCTTTACCTTAACCTTTATTAAGTTAGTAAAGCCGGTGAGGCATCACACCAACTGTTAAAAAAAGACATATTAATGAGTTGGCTAGTTCGATCAAAGGCACGCACTCATACAGTCAAGGGAGGTGCGAAGAGACGCGAAAAGGCAGAAAGGAGACAGAGCAGTTCGATTTGTGGATTACGAATTAATGTTTGACTCGCGAGGCGTTCATTTAGTCTCGAAAATCATCTGTTTCGTTCCGTATTAATAATCCCTGGAATTGTAGCGTTCAGCGAGCGTCTTTTTTATCCTCTAGTGTTACGATAAAGAGTGACGCTTGATTTGAGTTTAGCCAAGTAGCACAGGTATATACCCCTAAAAAACCAGACAGATTTTCAACACAGCGTCTGCACAAATTTACGAAGCTTATTTCTTTATTACATTTGGGACTACCGAGTCTGCCATTTCCTAACACCCTCGTTTCCAGGGCCCTCTCTCTTCCTTCTTTCTATTTTACCTCGTCCGCTGTTTCAATGTTTTTCTACGTAATGAGGAGAGTAAAAACTCAATAGAAGACTGTTTAAACGTGACATGTTTTCGTATTTTGGCTGCGCTTTAGTGGAAAAGAGATGTGAGTAAAGAACCGTTTCAGTTTATTTTGGAAACGAGTTATCGATGACTTATTGGTGTATCAGCTTTGTTCGTTATGGGCTCCTGCTGCGTCAGGGGCTCATAACCCGGAGCGTCTAACTTCCATACTGCGCCTATGCAAAGGCGTTTTCACAAGTAGGTCTATTTTTAGATAAGCCTTTCCCGCGAATTGCTTTCGAAAAGCCAATCACGAGCAATTGCGTCATCATTGATAAACTTTTAATACGTAACTAGGACAACTCCTTCACATTGAAAAAACATGGCGGACACACGTGAGGAATCTTCAGAGGAGTCTTCTGACAGTACTTCAAGCGACAATTTCAGTATTTACACGGAAAATAGCAGTTCAGAGCAAGATTTGCAAAACCTAGCAAGGACGTCTTCTTCATCGGCATAATTCACGCAAAGGGAATTAAATCGAAATCATCTTCGAAATAGCCGACTGTGAAAAGGTTTAAGCGAGCTACTATAACAGTCTAAACGACGATCAAATGGAGGAATTGACCTCGTGGAACAGTTATTTTTCGCGGGAAAAGCTTATCTAAAAATAAACTCACTTGTAAAAACGCCGCTGCACGAATTTATGGCAGTTGAACGCTCCGGGTTATGGGCTCCTGCTGTGTTTCAATTTTAGCCTTGCTTTAATAACAGTAATAAATGGACCGGCAAAGCGAGTGCTCCTTCAAATTGGCGCCAAAAAAGGCGCGGCAGAGACGCGCATGCTTTCCTGTTTAATTTATTTCTTTGCACTATTTTCTATAAATTATATTCCGCATAATTATGTCATTCCGCAAGCCATGCCTCATGCCATTTAGCCTGAGATCATGCCTTCTCCCTATTATCCTTTTATGTCCCTTGAAAAAAAAAACGCCTGATCGCAGGTTACATACCATCCCACAAACTCATTTCGCCCTTTACCCCCACCGATGGGTCGTGGGTAGCTGGTAGACCTAAAAAAACGCGAAGGGTATAAGGGATCTTGAATACGTCCTTCAGGTTAGTTTCTGGGCAGGGGGTGGGGTAGGATAGCTATTAGCTATAAGTGGGTGGACATCCAAAGTATCGAGTTAGAAAGGGAAGGATCATTCATAAAAAAGTAAGCATGCCGAGTAGGTGAAACCAGTAGTAGCGTCGCCAATTGTCGGCTGTTTTCTCAGGCTAAGTATCATAAGGAAAAATTACTATACTGATGATCTCCTATTATTAACATCAAGGAAAATATCTGTTAGGAAGAAGGAGAAATCTAACACTTGTAAGCTCATAAAATTTCCAACCTCTGGATGAGAATCGAACTAACCACCCTCCCAGTTCTAGTACGGATGCTCTAATCACTAATCTACTGGAGGCTCTATGGCGAGAAGGGTTGA